TACAAATGCTTTTCTTCTTCTTTATTGTCCAGCCTCAGATGTAACTCGCTTTGAGCCTTTTGCTTTGCCAGCTCTCTCTTTGCGTTATGCATAGTTTCCCATAAAGTTTGCTGGTGTTTTCTTCGTCTCCCTGGCTATCAAATGTGTTCATTACTAAACTCTTTGAATATTTTCCAGTGGATACACCAAACACCTTCTTGGCAGTCTCCCTCACTACTGCAGCTGTATCGTAAATCGTCTCTACCACACAGTCTCAACTCCAGCTTTCACCATTTCATCGTTGCTCTGCCTTCACTTGCTTCCACATTTTGATTTCCAGAGTCATCCTACAATCTACAATCCTTTCTACATTTTATAATCTCCTGTCCTTTTCAGATTGTACCTTCTGCATTAGATATGGTCTACCTTCTTCTACTCTTATACCTCACTCTATGTTGCTTCTTCTTGAAGTAGGCTACATGGTCACCACGGCCGTTTCTGTCCTTTTGGCAAAATCCACCATCTGTCCTTCTGCATGCCTCTCCTTAATACATATATACTTGTCACCTCTGTTCACTCGACCTACATGTCCACTGAAGTCACCTCCAGTTACCAGCCTCTCCGCCCTGGAGACACTCTCCACCGATTCATCGAACTTCCTCCAGAATTCCTCTTTGTCTTCTAACTGACATCCAACCCGTGGGTCATGCACACCGACAGTCTGATCTTCTCTGACATTCACCTTCACGCCCTGTGGCTTCCATTGTCTCATCTTCTGAGACTGAAATTGTGTGGAGCATCACTAAAGTAAACATTGCCCATATGCACACCCACTTTTGCGTATCCAGCATTGTGTTATGCTTAACAGATGGTATGATAAGCCTCAGAATTATTCAGCATTCATCTTTTTATCTCTACTTGTGTTCAATTTTGATTCTATTTACAAGAGTAAGATCATGCTTGCACTATTATTTCATCATATTACTACTAAACAGATCAATCATACATTTTATGATTATGCACTAATCCAGTATAAAAGGTTTTACTTTTAGTCTTTCAGAAGCACTTTTATTCTGATGGTGCTGTATGAATATCCAATGAATCCAATGAATGAATATCTTTATCTGGTAGAAAACTTATTTGGATTCAATTGTGTAATTTTGATTATTGATTATATTTGATC